GCGCGATCACGCCAGAGTACAGCATGAATAACTTAATACAAAATTAGCGTCTCTGCTACATGTCCATAATGCATGGCTGAGCTAAATAAGAGACCCTGAGAAATGCAAGTACCGAGAACGAGTAAAACTAGGGGGCGCTAGAATTCCAAGATTTGCGGGTGCGCAACAGTATCTTCATAAAAAGCAACAAGGAATTCACGCCATCACTGTACAAGTGAATGACTTTCTTTGAACAGAAGACGATCCATCTGTTTGTGAACACCATCCCACAGTAATTCTCGGCAATACCCTTGGTGAAATGGGAGGGCACATTTATACATGTATTTACCAATCAGCCACAGCACCCCACACGAAAGAGCCCGTCAAAAAGCCCCCGAAGTAAACTGATTGGGCTAGCCCGGGTAGATCCCCTCTGGAGCATACCAAATCAAACTACAAGCAAAACAGAACAAATGACACAATGAAAAAAGTGACATAATGAAAAAAATGTGACGTAATGAAAAAAATTGTGACATAATGAAAAAAATGTGACATAATGAAAAAGAAAAACCAATATAGGAGTGGAAAAGAGACATGCATACTAAAATACGGTTTTGTCTATTTTTAAACAAAGCCAATCGCCTAACGGGACCTTATTTTTAAACGCCTGTGCATGGAAACTCCGTACTAAATCAGAATTGATATTTTCCAAGTGCAATGAAATTCAAAAAACCTCTGAGGTGTTCTCAGTTGAAGAATCAACGAACATGCTGAGGGTGACACAGGCGTAAAATCCCGGGGGATGGGGATATATATCCACCCCCACACTTCAGTTTGAGGTGGGGGCGTCTCATCTCCCACACACTGTTTTGTCGTGAGCAAAAAAATTAAAGTGGATGGCGAAGAATATTTCAGACTTCCAACGACTAAAATGCATTCTGTATCACTCAAAAAAGAGGACAATTTAAAAAGCCATAAAATGTCATTCTTAAACATAATAATATCATGAACATCGACCTCTATATAGAGTCATATTACGTCATTCCCCCTCCTTTTCAAATTTTCATGTCATGTCCCCCACCTTTCCCCATCTCCCATCCCCTCAATTTCCAGCACAGGTACACACGCTTCCATGAAATGCTTCAAAGGAAAACGATCAGCTAGCGCATCAAAGGCATTAAAAGGAACTAAAACTTCACGCTTCCCCGCCTAAAATTAATGTACGCGGCCATGTGGTCAATATAAAGTGTACAAAGAGCCCTATGACTCTTGACTGCCACATTCTCGTAGAAAAAAATCACAAAACAAAGTCCGCTGGGGGTAGGCAGTACAGAAGCATGGAAAGCCCACTGTCAATTTTTTAGAAGTCCTATATTTTGCCGAGGCGAAACAAGGATAACCACTCTTTCTTTCGGGGAAGGAATGAGCATTCTTTTAAGAACGATGAAAAACTAGGACAACCATTTCAGAAAAACAATAGAGTATGCACGTACCACAGGATTACCAATGGCAGGTGGCCCGCCATGAAGCCAGGCTGGATCCATTAATTGCTGCCCAAATTTCTGTTTTTTTGCCCCACTGGTACGGTCTCTAGCTCTCTGCACATCACGGGGTCATTGTTTACCACGGCAAACACATGCACAAAATTAAGCCCCAACGGAGGGGAATAAGCGAAAATGCCCATTTGAGTCCCATATTTCATTTTGTCGAATGGGCTTACTTGAGTCCACCTGTCAATGGTTTACTGTTCTTAAGGCATAATGGACTGTAAGGAATATACAGAAGTTTTTTAACATGGGGTTATAAGTCACCCTCTGCCATAGGCATCCATCGTCTCTTTAAATCAGGCCCTATCCCTTGTTACTTGACAGCTGTTTTATGCAGGATGATTTGACCTAAAGGTGCTGGCTCAGAACCAACGCGGTAAACACGTACACAGAGCAGAGTGCTCGGAGATTTAACTCTGATGTGGCGCAAAAAAAAAGACTGATATGCATGCCAACTCGGAATGCGTGTCCAAAGGGTTATAGCTCCCAAAAAATTGGCGAAAACAATCGCTAGAATGCACACACACAATATGCTGTATGGCAGGTTTAATTGAATAACTGTGGGAATTAACTGCAGTTTCGTGTTTGTTTTTCTTTGTTTATGTATATAATGGGCTATTTTTTCCGTTTCAGGGACACATTTTCACTCTGTAAAGCTAGATTGCTGTATTAAATGATGGTTTCTGCGCACAGTTGATGCTGAGGGTTAGCTGATCACTTTAAAACTTCATTTTAAATGTTACTCTTCAAATTATAGCAATACTTGAATGCTTTATTAAAAAGACGTTACAGACTAACAACGCAGGCCTAGTGATTTTACTGTTCAATGTTTGATTTTCTTTTTATCGTCTCCATTTTCACGGCTTTTCCCTATTTTGTACATAGCTAGTTAATCGTGTTATTTTCGATGCCTTGAAATGCTATGCCATAAAACAGCTTTACATTTTTTAAAGTTTACATCAAACACGGGAACGACAATATCCTTTAAACACACGCACATGCTATGAAAGGTTCAGATCCAGGCGCGGGTCTACAGGTCTTCTTTTATCTATTTTTTTTGGGGGGGGGTAGATCCTTGGCACATGACGTGATCACCTGTTAACGTTTGCTGCTCCTCTGTTAGTTTTATATTTTGTAAATGTTTTTGGTATTTTTATGGGGGGGGGGGTTAGCAAAAGTTCTAGCCCCCAGTAGATTCGTGCCTGTTCAAACACTGGAATAAATATGTTGACATACGAGCAGCCATGCGTAGGTAACCTATAGCTCCACTAGATTGGAAGCCCGTTTCTCGAGCACTGACTGCACGCTGCAGAAAGTGCATTACAAGTTTCCGTTGGTTACTGATTAGAATAGTATTAGTTGCAACAAGGGGTAATATTAATTACATCTTGAATAATGGTGCTATGATACTGCGAGCGATCATACTCCCATCCTCTATCGCAGGGTATAGTCTCATTGCTGGCCTCATCCCTCTGCAGTGTTCCATTGGTGCCATTCCTTTCCAGTTCCCCGTCCCAAGCTTCCACGTACCGCTCACACTTTGAGTACACGACCTGGCCTTCCTTGTCCACTGTGAATGGGATGGTGAGCTCCTTCTGTTGGTTCAGACACTCCACCGCAGTCTCGAGGTCCAGCCCGGTGCAGTTCAGGGATTGATCGGCCGTCACGGCGCACCAGTGGTCGGTCTCTGCCGCCAGGAACACCTGGGCGATGGCATGGAAAGCAAAAGTTATGCCAACCAGGCCAAGAAGGGGACAGATTATCTTCTGGTACCTGCCAAACGCACCAATGTGCGTCAAGATGTTGTCAAATTGCATTACTTCAGTTCACGGTAGAAGCTGGGGAACTGTTGAATTGACGTGCGGGAAACACTCCGTCAAGTAATCCAACAAATCGTATCGAAAACCGCCTTTCGAAAACCGCAACGTTAGACCACAAGTTTACACAAGGACTTGAATGTAGGGCCTACATGTACAATAGCCAACAACATTCGTTTCCCTGCCACATCTATGGGTTGTGTGTACTAGTTCCATGGTTAAAGCCATATGCAAGATGACGCAAGACAGTACAGCAGACGTCAACGCGTTGAACCACCGTCCTCGCATGTGACGAATATCGCCATAGGTCGTGTGAATAAAACTATCAAATGCTATAAAGTTCAAGCAAACAGCAAAATCGTTTACTGAGAAGTAAAACCATTAAGAATAAGCAAATGCTTTAATGAGTATGAATGAAATGTTTCTTTTACCATTCAGCAATCTACTAGTAAAATTGGCAAATGCTTTAAGCTTGTGGCTGACTGCACAGCCGAATGGTTTTACACAGTAGGGCTTCCGTTGTCTGCATGTACAGATACACACAGTGCAGCACGGTGCTGTATCTTGAGACATCGGCATGGCAGATAAGCATGATGGCAGTAATTTTGATTGCAAAACCCTTGATAAAACAAATTTCTCTGCCACTCGCAAATCGGTACAACTGCTTGCATATATTTTCTTCAGATTCCCTCCTAAAGGCATACAGCTTTTCTTTTCGAATGACATTCATGAACGCCGCCAGTTTGAACATAAGTAAATGCTCCTCGTTTTCAAGCTTACCCTGACCCAGTCTTGAAAAATGTCAAGTATAAAATACTCCAATTCTGTAGAACTTACTCATTTTTATTCATACAAAATGAAGCAACTGTTTATTGTCAAGCACAAGTTTAAAGAGTAAAAAGTAAATACTTTTACTTTTTAGCAATTGCACTAAAAAGTATTTGCTTCGTTATTATTCATACAAACACAAGTAAATGTTTCAAAAAAGTCTCATACAAAAATTTCCATTTTTTGCCTAAAGCATATTTAATGCTGGATCTGCTCTGACGTCGGCAACACGTAAGCAACAGCATCTGTACATGCACGTTCAAGGTCATGGTGTACCTACCTGAAGCCCAACGTGGCGCATTCTGATCTTGGCAGCATTCCCTGCGTGAGCTCCTCGTTTGATGGCTGGTAATCACTGCTGGAAATACCCACATACATGTACAAGGTTCAAAATGGCTGCCGATGATGTAAACAAACTCTGATCTTTCTTCCTTTCTCTGTAACAACATTCAAGGGTAGTTCCAATCAGTTTGAATGTTTTAATACAGACCTTCAAAATGCACCTTTGTGTCTCGATTAACCTCATTTTCAACTTTTGTTCCATAATTTCAAAGGGTATTTTTCTGCCGGGTTTTTATGCTAATGACGTTGCCATATCCACTAGTAAAGCTGTGATGTCATCCGGGAAGAAAGCCTAAATGCTATACATGTACTTTTTTTGTACACACTTTTTTCTGATTCGTTGTTTTTTATGTGCATAGCAAGAAGTGAACACCAATGCTTTTGTCAGAATTGTTTTCAGTAAGTAAATTCTGGGTTCACAACTTTAAGTAAAAAACCTATGCAATGAACTATTGTCTTTGCTGGATGGCATCATAGCCGAACAGCGCACTCAGTTGTCCAGGAAAGCATGGATAATTTTAGGTGTTTAAAAAGTGCACTTTTCAGCGCATTTAACCAAAATGGGAAGGTAAAAGAGTCTTCACACATTAAAGAAAAGTACAAGTATAAAGTTGCAGAAAAGTTGTGTTTAATAAAAATTCAATTTGGCTACCCTTTTGTTACCTCTTACAGTCCATTTCAATACGTTTCAATTGTCCACACTACCAGCACTTTCATTGTCCTTAAGTCATCGTGCATTCATTGCTACTCCAAGAAAACCTGAGTTTAATCTAAGCCTCAGCACAGATTTTCATTGGCCATTATTCATTAGACTATACCAATAACGAATGACTCCAACTGATAAATCCTCGAATTCACAACCAGTCAGCTGTATAAAGAATACTTTGCCCTCCAAATTCGGTTTCTTTTCCCGGAACAAGGCCCGAAATAGGGGAAGGGGAGGGGGAACCGAGCCATATCTGAGAGTGCTCAGACTGCATCCAAATCGTCTGCATCTAGCTAGGCCTCAGCCTTCGCCCATAGGAAGTGAACAAAGACACGCTGCACAATAGCCATAGCTCTGAAAGCCCATTTCGGACAAGGCCTCGGCATACTTGCCAACATTGGAGACCGAAAAAGTGGTAAATTCTTCAGTAGTTTGAAGGGAAAGATGTTGGGGTGCAGAGCGACCTAGTGGGGGTAGGGGTTTGAAGGCTTTCAGAGCAGGAAACATTTGTAATTTTGTGACTTAGTTTAGCACATTTTGTGGAGCACAATGTAAGAAAAGGTTTCAGGTGGCAAGAGGCAGCAATGTAATTTTTTATAATGTGGAACTTGAGCGGCACGGATGTGAACTGAATACAAAAATTATCAAAAGCGGTAGCTTTCAGCGGAAAGCCTGTAGATGGTTAAAATCCACGAAAAGCGGTAGTCTTACCGCCAAAAGCGGTAGAGTTGGCAAGTATGTCTAAGTCCGCTCTTGTGAGTGCACTCCAGCTTCGTATTGTAGCTTCATGCATCTTGTGCAAAAGATTTTCATTTAAATTCTAGAACACGCAGTATTAGCAGATTGTTAAGAATCCGTTAAATTTCAGTAATGTAAAGTTTTGCGAAGGTTAATTATGCAAATTAAGTGGGCCAATCGCTCTGCAATTGGCGTACTTTATCTCGTGACCGCTATTGTTCCATGAACTTTTGTTTGCTCCCTTGCGGGGGTCCGACGCATTCTTGACCAATGGAATGGACATAGGAATTTCCTCTCGGACTTAAAAGTGTCTTGGCGGTATGAGCTTTCAGCTTGCTGGGGGTGGACAAGCAAGGATATTAGTAGGGGGGTCAGTTGGGTAAAGTTTGACTTTTGCGACAAAAATAGTCACCGCTAACTCTGGTCTTCCATCTTCGTCACGTTATTCTCGTCAGTACGACGCCCTTCCATTACAAGTAGTCTGTCGAGTGCTACACCTCGCCCAATGGTCATCATCTTCCAGTCGCCGATAACAGATACGAACTCCCGCGTCTTCGGATTCGTTTGGTTCTCGGCAGGCTGACGGCTCAGGATTCCACTCATGGAGGTACCTCCCTTCACAATGGCCAGCCCGTAATTTGTATAATTATTTTCGCATCCATTTCATTTAATTCAGTTCATGTGTTAATTGGTAATATTGAATAATTCAATTAATTTCAATTTTATTTTTGAGCAAATTTCTTGATTCCGATCCTCATGTCATTCCAGAATTTCTTTTCCCATTCTTTTGTCTGTTGTGCTGTCATATGCGGATTTCCAACTTCGTAACAAGATATGTCGACTTTAATATGACAACGTTTTCAGGGTGTACAAAAATTTTAATTTAACTTTTGTACAGTTTTGAAATTTAACATTTATGTGTCATGCTTATAACCATGCCAGTTTATTAGCCTGGTTCCCATGGTTCTGAATCTTCTACTATTTAATCAAGCTTGGTTTGTGAGTGTTTCATCAGGGAATCGTTCCACAGCGTCCACCTGCAAAACCAACCCTGCACAATATTCACGGACATAGTTTTAGAGGCAGTACGTGTACACTGTACACGTCCATCAACTGGTAGGCCTAGACCGTGCATCGAGTTTTCGTCTCAAACCGGTCCGAACTCCAGGTCCTCAAATTGGGCTACGCATGCGCTATCATTGCAGTGCAACGGACTAGGTGACAAAGTGACTTTCAAGAAAACATGAGAACCATGTCTTTGTACAATCGAATTGCAATAAAGCAAATGTAAAAAATCTGGGTTTATCCGAGATATCTGAGTCCTCATTGTTCGAGTCCGAGTCCAAGTTCGAATCTCGTCTGTCCGAGTCCGGACTCGAGTCCTCGGGCACTGGAAACTCCGCCCCAATTCACTCCTCGGCGGCTGTTTCCATCAAGCCACTGTGAGATTGAGGGCTCTCCTGTTCGATGACATTGGTAACGGAGATCCTAGTTTGCTAAGTTGTCTCGAACGTGAATCATTATGGGCTGTGGCAAAATGTACACGGCCCCGGATATCAACATCAGTTTGAACAGGATGAAGATGATACCTGCACGGCAGAGTAGCAGGCGGCAAAACGTATCAAGGTTAAAGTACAACGAACCTGCGATGTGAGCAGGTGTTGCTCAGTTTTGGATGCTGTTCGACTCTACGTCTCAGAGTCTGACTTGCACAAGTCTTCAACTTTCACCTCAACAATATGACGTTTCCCGGAGCTCTTGTAGAATAAACTTGAGCTGCATTAAGCCCAAATCTCCGACTGACAATCACAATTGGCGTAAAATCAGGACTATCCGAAACGAAGCTGAGGGGACAATAGAAACAATGCACTGAACTCGCGTGAGAACTCGCGTGGCGAAGTGGCGCCTTCATGCCCGATAGCAACGCCGTAAGTGGAGATTTCATTTAACATAAATTAGACTTAGCACACCACTACACTAGAAATGACAGGGATCTGGAGTGAGGGTAGGCCTTCATTGAAATAAGTGACGCAATGATCAAGGAGAATGAAAACTGATGAGAGACAATACCGATTATCTTCCACATCTGAAAAAGCGTGAGAAATCCTGGTTGCCAACTACTTGCGCTATGTTTAGTCCAATACATTATACGTTGAAGAAGTTTATAAAGTAATGCGTGGGGCAAACGATAGGTCAATAACTTTCTCTTCTCAGCTTTCCCGTTAAAATCTCGTCAGCTTGCGTGATGACACCCTCTATGCGGAGTCAGTGCCCTTGACACAGCGACAAAGTGCATTTTTGACACATGATAACATGACACATGGCGCATGGATAACACTGCATAGACAGGAAATTGTAATGTCTCTGAATTTTGTCAGCGTTGATCCACCGGACCACTTTTTTTCTTACTGAACACAAATGATACGGATCTCCATTCAAAGCCCTTGTCTTTCAGGGGTTAAGTTATTATGTTTGTCTCTCCTTGTGTCGTAACTGTAAATGACAGGTTTTCAAAGCTGTATAAATTACTAATATTGACAAGTTTGTACGCTCATGTTTTTTCAAGCGGCATTTCATTTTGTGCACGTGCAGTGATTAATTTTGCCATTAGTCAT